TAGAATTTAGGAGTGGGTCTAATGGTAAAGAATGTTGTGAATCTGCTCTCACCTCAGCAATAAACAAACTGACCTCTAGTTCAAGGAGAATATAAATATTAAGTTTTATCTTCTAATGATTTCATGCCGAGGAATTTGGCATTGGCTAACTAGCCCAGAAAGCTGCTGCTGCACAGTCACTGCGTCGGCAGACAGTTTGGTCTTTGCGCTTTGAACAAACCTATTTTGGGGTAATCTGACAAACTCACGTTTACCAAATTGGGTTGGCAGATATCAGCTGCCACTGATTGTACTGTGTGAAAAAGCGATCAGGAGTCTCATTGTTTGGTTAGCCTTGAGCACGCTCAGTAAAATGCCACAAACCTTTATGGGACAAGTGACACTGCTGTTGCTTTTTAAATCTTTCACGCTCCCAAAACCCAGACCAATGGCGTAAACCATCACCACAAGAGAATCTAGCATCTCAAGCCCTTTACAGAACATGTCAGCAGGCTACAGGTACACAAACACCTGGACACACCTGCACAGTTCCGTACGGTCAGGTTAGCATGTACCAGGATGAGTTTCCACAGTGAATCTGAGAGCAGCATAAACATCCAAAGTGTCACCAGTAAGTGACATGACACAGTGTGTTTCTAAGTGGTTATTGTACAGATGAGTCTTTCTAAGATATCCGGTGCACTTGTTCATCTGTTCCTGGACGTAAAAACATTCTAACGCTTTACGTTTATTCATCAGGTGTTCATCCAAACATCAAACTTATTCATATGTGCCAAACACATTCAAATTTAAGGCCTAATTTACTCCTTGTCCTTACAAACATATATCCAATCCAAATACAAAAAGGCAAAGTCAATCTCCATCGATGCAACATCTTTGGTGAATTTTTATTTTTGCTACAAGCCAAAGGTTTTTGCTGGATATTTAATACATTCATTAAACTGAAAGGTTTGTAATTATTGTTTGATTTGTGTGAAGTTCAGCTCACAGACTGAGCTCGACCACACGCCCACACCTTTCACTCCACCAGTTCCTCCAACAAACCCGTCTAGAGGAGCTGAAAGTCGTGGGTGGCGCTCCAGCTCAGGTGCAGCTACAGGTGAACAATGGGTACTGTGGTCGCCCCCTGTGGGACGGTGCAGTTATAAGGCAAAGAGAGGAGCACCTTTAAAGTACAGCTGACAGGGCAAGGGTTTTCATGCAGAACTCTTAAAAGGTGAGCAGATCCTCTTGTCACTCCAACCTCTCATCGTCCCAAACTCTCAGACACGAGTCCAGTTCAACAGCGGCTCGACAACACGTTGGGTTACTCAAAGAAGAACAGTCTTCGATTTCAGTTTCCTTCTGTGGTTGTTGAGACTGAACACCATTGTCTCTTTTGCCAAGTACAGAATGATGTTTCAGGGTTTACAACTGATCTCTGAGGGGCTGGTTTCAAAAAGATCTATCAGACTGATCATTCCAAAACCCAAAGAGTTTTGACACGTTACACTGGGTATCTGATTTCAAGTTTGCACATTGTAAAAGTGTGATTGAGCGGCCTTTATAGCTGGAATTGTACGTTGGAAAATCCAGCGCGATGCATCCAGTCTGAGTTTGCTAACAAATATGAAGATGCCATTGATATATGTCTAAAAGTAGACGCTTCATTGTAAACATGAAAAAGCGGTAAGCAGTGCTCCAAACCAGACAATCAGTCAGAACAGGTCAACTTTTTCTGCTATAAGTTCAGGCAAATATCAATCTAGGGAACATGCAAATGGAAAGGCATGCAGTTTTCCTTTGCAGCTTGCATACTAGCGAGCTAAAGCGAAAGATTTTGTAGCTCTTGTGTTTGACTCGAATCAATGCATAGTCTATAATCCATCCGCTACTCAGGTAGACAGGAGGGAACAGGATCTGTGGAACCAGCCTCTGAGCTCAGCACTGTAAGACGTCTGACTGACAGCTGGAGCTTTTAAGGACTTTGAGAGGAGGAGTAGCAAAAAGGATCATGGGTAGAAGCGGTTGCTTTTCCAAGGCAACATAGAGGAGACCAGGGGGTGGTATTCAAGTAGGACTGTGCAGCATGTTGTCTTTTGATAGGCCCTGAACACCATTTACAGCTCATACAACACATACTACTCCCTCAGTATCTGCAACAACACGCGACAACAAGAGATTAAACTCAATCAACCAAAGAGCAAAGATCCAGAATCATTCACAGGTTCACTCTGCAGATACCGACTGATCTGTCACACTACTCAATACCAATGGTGGTGTTTGGTTTGCATCCCACAATGAAAGTGCTAAATACTGCAACGATCCTGTCACGTGATGTTTCCTAAACTATCTTTGTTCTTCACATCTAAGAGAAGCCTGAGCCCTCTGGTGTTCAGTGTTTTTTTAAAAGAGGAATCAGAGCTCAAGGCAACAACAGGGCAGAGTCCAATTATCACCAAAGATCCAGCCATGTTTCAAGAGAAAAACTGCAGGTACAAGCCCCGGCAGAAAACACATCATGGAGGGCGAGAATCGTTTATAGGGCCGGAGATCATAACTGGAATAGCAAAACTTGTCAGATGAAGTTCACACGTTTCCTGTAACTACCTTCCAACATACATGACATCCATCCATTTTCTTCTGCCTGTCCAGGATAGGGTCACAGATGTCTCTCTCCTAAGTAATGTTTCCAGCTACAGTAGAATAATTGGAATTGGAAGTATTTCCAGGCCAGATGGGATATATAATCCCTCCAGTGGGCTCTGGGTCTACCCCGGGGGCTCCTCCCAGTTGGACAAAAAACTCCAGAGGGAGGCCTCCAGGAGGATCCTGTTCTGATGCCTGAAAATCCTTAACTGGCCCCTTCCCATATGAAGGAGCAGCGGCTCTACTCTGGGCTTCTCTCGGATGTCTGAACTCCTTACCCTCTCTCTAGTGCCCATTTCAGCTGCTTGTACCCGTCATCTCACTCTTTTGATAGCTTCCCAAAGCTGTGACTACAGGTGAGGGTTGTAACATAGATCAGCTGGTAAATGGATGCCTCTTTACAACAACAACACATGCATTACTATTGGATCATTGCATAACACGCCATGTTCATTGCAGAATCCTTTGAGTCTGCTACATGGAGTTTGGAGTCGTGGAGTAGTGCCATAAACGACAGACAGACATGATATCAGACAATAACGAACACAGTGAATGATTTCAGAATCAGCCCAGGTCTCCAAATCAAAGCTTTCTCACTCAGGATCATCAAGACTCCACGAGTCCAACCGGCTGTACGGCACAAGCTCACTCAACAGGAAGCTCTAACTATCTACAAAAAGGTAAGCAAAGTTTTTAGCAAAAGTCAAGTCAGTTACAAAGTGTAAAAAGAGCGAGTGAAGAGTGTAAACACACACACACACACACACACACTAAAGAGTAAAGATTAATATGGAGCATATTGATGCTCTGCTAACAGTACAAACACAGAACTGCTCACGACAATATGTACAACCAACAACTCTCAAAAAGTTATGACACTATTCAACATCCTACAGCTAACGGCGGCTAACGTCATCTACACAGCTAAAGCACAGGTCTACATCTTTAAAACGGTTATAATCTCAAACAGGATCGTCTGTATGGCAACGATTCACACACCGCACAGCTCTTCTCCTTTCACCAACGCCTCACCTTCACACTCGCTAAGTTTGGTTCGGTTGGCTGTGCAGGAAACACTTCAGGCAGAATTTTGAAGATTGCATGAACATCCAAATTTAATCTTTTTCAAGGATTAAATGGAATTTACTGACAAATTCCAAAAACCAAGTTTTTAAAGTGCATGTTTTTAATTCACTCATAAAGAATTGTTTAATGTCAGCGCGTCATTGGGCGAGTAATCAGGTCAAAGGTACCCTGTGGAGTTTATTGCTACATGACCACGATGGAGAAACATATTACAGCGTGACGTATTTTTAGCATCTCGTGCATGTTTTAAACATTTCTGCTACTGTCAACATGCTGTTCCACTGATAGCCAGTAGATGGCAGTAAAACACTAAGAATCTTACAATGTCCTGGGACAGCTAGCTAACAAATGTAGTTCCTGGACTGATGTTTTGAAGCCTCGAGTTTGGAACTTTCTCCATCAATATCTGGTTTCTTGGTTTTCTGTTTTCGTTTGGACTCCAGGGGAAGCTGGAAGCTGGAAGGAATGAGAGTTTAGCAAATGCTTCGTTATCAAACTTTAGATTATTCATACGAATTACAAAGCTTTATCATCATTTAACTGATGTGAAACTCGACAACAAATCTGGTCAATTTCCAGGCTGTAACATGTTTATTTCTGCTCTAAAGGTCCCATATTATGCTTTTTCTGGTTTTATATGCTCTTTAGTGTGTTTTCCAAGTGTCCTGTGCATGTTTAGGCACATCTATTTGCAAAAAATCAAAGTCCGCGTAAACACATCTTCTCCTACGTCTTCTCCTACGTCTTCTACTACGTCTTCTCCTATGTCCTCCTGTTAGCTGCAGCATTAGCTGCATGTAACGCTCGGTTCTAGCCCCCCTCGAAAAGAATTTGCCAGTGTGACGTCTTGTCAGTGTGATATCACTGATCTAAGCCCATTGGCTCGTTGTGGCAAGCCCAGCAGCTCATGTTGCACGCCCATTAACTTCTGTAGCACGCCCACGATATGCCGCAGCCTGCGGTAGCACAGTAGTGCTAAGGTGCTAATTTACTAGTTACTAGTTTTTGCTCCCCTCGGACGGAGCCAAAGTGGCTGCATTCCCAATATGGTAAAAGGGGTGGGACATTTCCGAGAACCGTGCTGAGCGACTGACCAATTACGGCAGAGCCGACAGGCCGACCAATCAGGTCAGACTTGGCACACTTGGGGACTCTGAGAGAGTCAGAAGCGAGCCGGTGCATGGAGCGGCAGTACATGAAAACAGACACTTTTTTCGAACTTTAGCTATTGTGAACATACTAGTAGGTACATAGATTAAATATACGAACTCCAAAAAGGGCATAATATGGGCTCTTTAACATTGGGCTATATGGGTATTGACTCACTGCAGGACACAGCCTCTAGTGGACACTGGAAGAACTGCAGTTTGGCACTTCTCAGTTTCTCAGTTTGTTATTATTTCTTGACCAGAAAACTCCACAGGATATCTTTAAATTATTGTCTTTAGCTTTTTGGATTTGTGCTTTAGCTTCAGTAAAGAAGTTAGTTTTTAATTTGTTTTAAGCTCATTGTGAAGGAATCATTAATACTGCCACCCTGGGATAAAGTTAAATTCAAAGTTCTTCTGTACACACTGGCAACTCAATGCTAACACAACAAAGCAAAGTAGGAATAAAATTAGCTTGAATTATCTGTAAGTCACATTTCAAACATGTTCTGCCTCGAGCCTCGACCGCCTGCTTTTCTGAAAGAACCAATTACTGTCGCTTCACGGACAGAAAAAGTCAATCTGATTAAGCTAGCTTCATTTTTATGCTACATCAAGTGTTCAGAGTCTTCCTTGGAATCACATCTTATTCTGAAGATTACACGGCAGAATTTTTTAATCCTTTTTTCACTTTTATCTGGCGTTAAACCGCTCAACCTTTCCCAAAGACAACGGGTAACTTTAAAAAGACAAACCTGTCAGGCTTCCTTCATTAGGCATCATCTTCAAATACTAGCTGAAAAACAGAATCTACTCTATAATGTTTTTTTAAATATCAGATTATTTACACTATAAAAAGTCACAGGTTGTAAGTAGACAGAAATGTTCAGACGCCTTGTGTTTGTTCACTGCAAAAAGATCAAAATGTGAATAAGGCAACTTTGTACATGAATATACGAGGACTACGGAGCAGAACTAATGATGTACCTGTACCATGATGTAAACAGTAGTTACCTGTTGTAACCCCCCTTCTATGAGTTAATCTACCACCTGGTTATGGACTCTACGGGCCAACAATGGAGCCCCTTTAAGGGCCACACATGTGGGTCAACATGGGACTGAACTTAAACTACGGCTGATAAAGACCTCCTCAGAAAAATAATGTACAAAATTAAACAGAAATGTCACATTTTAGAGGTTTCAGGGAAAAGTCAGATATTTCACAAGGTTAATGCAGACCCTCAATACAAACCTGCAAATTCACCCAATCCCTGAAAATTCACCAAATCCCTGCACCTCTTTTTGCGACCTTGCATTTTTGGCCAATCGTTCCAACTTTTCAGCAGAATCAACCAATGGGAAAGCATTGTAATGGGCGTGTGCTGAGGTGAACTAATTTGTCAACTCCTGACAATGTACTTCGGTGTCATGGATTTTTTTATGGATGTTAAGTTTGGCATCTTGACACAGAGAATGACCAGAAGTAATGTCAGAGCTAAAAATAAACATTAAAACTTGCATTGCAACTTTTTAAAAAAAGCTGCTGTGAAATCAGGCATTTAAATCACAGAAGACGCCCAGAGGGTCCTGGAGGGACAGATATCATGATCAGCTGCTCCGAGACGCCGAAGAGAAATCTGAGGAATTAACGGATCTCTCAGTCTGTTCTTATTTCATCGAGCATCAAAAAGAAACTTGAAGGGTTCATTTAAGTGTCACAAAGGTTCAACTCAGAGATATCGCTGATTCAAAATCACAACTCCTTCAAATAAACCCAAAGATAAAAACAGAGGTTGTGTTTCAGAGATCAGCTCCTACAAGATTGTCTCAGAATCTGCTTTCTGCTAATCTCATCAACGTCGTCAAATCCAATTAATCAGCGTATTAATCCTGATCAACTCGCCAACAGGAGCTGAGAGGATTCTCTCTCTCTCTCTCTCCAAAACAAACACAGTTCCTCACTTTTTTTCCAGTCTTTGAACCTCGGTGTGTCTGGAGCTAAATGCTACATCAACGCTCCAGCTAACGGTAGACGACACGCTAACCAGCTCTGTGAGTGGTGTTCGAACAGGAAACAATAAATTACTATTTACACAAACGTTTGGCAACGGTTCCATACACAGTCGGCCATGTTTAGAGCTGAGGAGGAAAATCTGTTCACATTCAGCTCAGAGGACTACAAATCCCATCATCCTCTGCAGGTCAGAGTTGCAGGATCTACACAGACGTGATGCAGGATAAAATTAATATACTGTATCATGTCAGTGTGTGTGTGGGTGTGTGTAGATTTGTGTGTGCGTGCTTGTGTGTGTTTGTGTTTGTGTGTGTAGGTGTGTGTGTAGGTGTGTGTGTTAGACGGGGTTCTCCTCAGTGGGGGGCTCAGCTTTGGCCGGCTCCAGGAGAGTCTGCTGGACTGTTGAGATAAAAAAGCAGCAGTTAGAAAAGACCTCTTCAGGTATTATTATTATTACAGGTGTGGGAATATGATTTTTTTCTTATCAATCCATTAAAATCAACACCTCAGTTTTTACAGTGCGATGATTCTGAATCTCTGATCCTCAAACTTTTCCTTAAAGGATCTTTTCTCTCAGTGTTTCCTGAACTTCTCTGACTCTAAGCATTAATCAGCTGCAGGTTACAGCCCCAATGAAATCATGACGCAGTATCAGAGTGGACAGCAGAGGGCAGTACAGGTGTGATAGTAGACGTTAAAGTGTGTTCACCTTGAGGTTCTGTAGCGACCACAGCCTCGGGGTTCTCGGCCTTCACCATGTCGGTGTTCAGACTCTCTGAAAAACAAAAACACTTGTTAGCTTCATGCTTGACCAACGATGCAGTAACGAGTCCTAAAACCCGGGAATGGATTAGCATTTTAGCATTTTAGCTCTTCCTGTTCCATCATCTCAAAGTCTACGGGATTCCTGAACAAGTTGGTTTCATGGTTTGGTCTGGCAGTCAGACTACATACTGAAGTACGTACAGCATACTATGTTCAATAGTGTTTGGAGATTATTTCCCATCATGCAACTGTTGAAATTTACAAGTACAGCTTTTGATAAGAAAAACAAAAAGCAGAAAATTGTAGTTTGTTGTGTGTAATTTGTTGTGCGTAGTTTTTTGTGTGTAGATTTCTGTGTGTAGTTTGTTGTGTGTAGTTAGTTGTGTGTAGTTAGTTGTGTGTAGTTAGTTGTGTGTTGTTGGCTGTGTGTAGTTAGTTGTGTGTAGTTAGTTGTGTGTAGTTAGTTGTGTGTAGTTAGTGTGTGTTGTTGGTGTAGTTAGTTGTGTGTAGTTAGTTGTGTGTAGTTAGTCGTGTGTTGTTGTTGTGTGTAGTTAGTTGTGTAGTTAGTTGTGTGTAGTTAGTTGTGTGTTGTTGGCTGTGTGTAGTTAGTTGTGTGTAGTTAGTTGTGTGTAGTTAGTTGTGTGTAGTTAGTCGTGTGTTGTTGGTTGTGTGTAGTTAGTTGTGTGTAGTTAGTTGTGTGTTAGTTGTGTGTTGTTGGTTGTGTGTAGTTAGTTTTGTGTAGTTAGTTGTGTGTAGTTAGTCGTGTGTTGTTGGTTGTGTGTAGTTTTGCTGTGTTTAGTTAGTCGTGTGTTGTTGGTTGTGTGGAGTTAGTTGTGTGTAGTTAGTTGTGTGTTGTTGGTTGTGTGTAGTTAGTTGTGTGTAGTTAGTTGTGTGTAGTTTGTTGTGTGTAGTTTTGTTGTGTTTAGTTAGTTGTGTGTAGTTAGTTGTGTGTAGTTTGTCGTGTGTAGTTTGTTGTGGGTAGTTAGTTGTGTGTAGTTAGTCGTGTGTTGTTGGTTGTGAGTAGTTTTGTTGTGTTTAGTTAGTTGTGTGTAGTTAGTTGTGTGTAGTTAGTTGTGTGTAGTTAGTCGTGTGTTGTTGGTTGTGTGTAGTTAGTTTTGTGTAGTTAGTTGTGTGTAGTTTGTCGTGTGTAGTTTGTCGTGTGTAGTTAGTTGTGTGTAGTTAGTTGTGTTTAGTTAGTCGTGTGTTGTTGGTTGTGTGTAGTTAGTTGTGTGTAGTTAGTTGTGTGTTGTTGGTTGTGTGTAGTTAGTTGTGTGTAGTTAGTTGTGTGTAGTTAGTTGTGTGTAGTTTGTTGTGTTTAGTTAGTTGTGTGTAATTAGTTGTGTGTAGTTTGTCGTGTGTAGTTTGTTGTGTGTAGTTAGTTGTGTGTAGTTAGTCGTGTGTTGTTGGTTGTGAGTAGTTTTGTTGTGTGTAGTTAGTTGTGTGTAGTTTGTCATGTGTAGTTAGTTGTGTTTAGTTAGTTGTGTGTAGTTAGTTGTGTGTAGTTTGTTGCGTGAATTTGTGTTCTCACTCACGTTGGATACCAAAGCACAGTTTCTTCTTCTGGTACGAGATGTAGCTGCTCACCGCTCCCACCAACGCCATGACAACCGCACTCGCAATACCTGCGATGGTGCCCACCTCAGCTGTGGTCTCTACTCACACAAACACACACACACACACACACCTGTCTGAGATCACTGTATGTGTGTGTGTGTGTGTGTGTGTTTGTGTGTGTTTGTGTGTGTGTGTGTGAGACAGAATCTCACCACTGTTGTCGTCGTACTGATTAATCTGATCTCTGTCTCCACCTGGCCGTCCACCTGAAACATACACACATTAACACAGCTGTTTCTGCCCTCTGCCTCTCTCTCCCCCTCTTGCTTTCTCTCTCTCATTATAAAACATGGATGTAATAAAAGAAGGTTGGACGCTGACCTTTTCCTTTGTCTGGTTGGTAGCTTCCGTCATTGCCGACATCAATCAGGTCGCTGTCAGAGAATCCTGCAGACAATTAAAATCATCCATCAGGACCACGTGGAGGAAAAGGTCAGACATAAACAGTCGAGTGTTATTTCTCTTATCAAGACTTCTTTATCCAAACGTTAGAATTCCTAATTAACACTTAAAACTGTGACAAGCCTGTCTTTCTACACTGCACACACAGCTGTCTGAGTCTCCATTAAACACTGAGGACGAGAACACACTGCACACACAGCTGTCTGAGTCTCCATTAAACACTGAGGACGAGAACACACTGCACACACAGCTGTCTGAGTCTCCTTTAAGCACTGAAGACGAGAACACACTGCACACACAGCTGTCTGAGTCTCCATTAAACTATCTATTAAAACTAACTATTGTTACATCTATGGTGTTATGGGTCAAAATCGACCCAAAACACCATAGATATAACAATAGTTTATTAAATTTAAATAAATAAAAATTAATTATTCAAGAGATGTGTTCTCATACCCCTCACTAATAGTCAGGTAACATAACAACCTTTTATTTATTTATATAATTCTCTTGAGGTTTATTTTACCATTATACCAAAAGAAAGACCCAGGGGGCTATTTATTAAATATTAAAACAAATCTTTTCATGGATAGGGAAGCCTAACAAGGTAACCAAGAGGTAAGACACAAATTTGATGTAAAATAATTGTTTTGAGGGTATTTTATGGCTGATTCAAGACACAGGTCAAAACCAAGCCGTTAACATAAGAGCTGGTAACAGAAAGCTAACACAAGAGGAAGGTTAAACACTGAACACGAGAACACACTGCACACACAGCTGTCTGAGCAATGTTCAAATAATGGATCTATACAGTAAATTTAATGTCATATCTTAAAGGTCCAATCAGTAAGATGTTTATGTCCTCCTTCTAAATTTAAAATGGGTACTGCAGTCCAAATTCTAAACATTGTAGAGAGCTGTCTCCCCCCCCGCCCCCTACTCTCTAGAGTCCATGCTCTCACAGGTTGCCATGTGGTGGTCACTGAAGCTTCAGTGTTTATCCAGCTCTGCATCGGTCTGTAAACCTTTCTGTGTTCTAACCTCTCTCCATTTTTCAAAAGCATCTCCAATATTGATCCTAGTTTGAGCACGTTTCTGCTCGTGGAGCTTATTAGAAACATGCAGAGGCTTTTTAGGTCGGGTACAATCACTTCTATCTGAACCACTTCTCTTGCCCTCTTCCATCACTGCAACACCTGTTGGTTTGACCTGATAACTGCTCTCATATCTGACAAACAGAGGGGCGTCCAAAACGGCGGTGTGGGGGTGTCTTAAACCTGCCTACCTTCTCTGGTCCAAACAAATCCAGATCATTCAGGACCAGAATCTAAAGTTAGAAGGAGGACATACTGACTGCTGCATTGTTGTCAGAGAAGCCAGCACTTCAACATAACATGTTTCCTTAATGTCTGATCATATAGTAAGATACCTTTATCATTTCACTCACTACACATCTTACTGGTTGGACCTTCAATGAATAATGATGTTTCATTAACAGACTCTCATCCATTCACCCACCTCCCTGCCCCTTGTTCTTATCCTTTCCACCAATGTCATTGTTGGGGTCCAAAGCATCAGCCAGGTCAAAGGCATCAGCAGCTGAGAGTCAGACACCACAGCAGGGGGGGCGAAGTAAATCAAATCAGAAAAACAGGCAAACACAGGAGGTTAAAATGAGGAGAAAAACTCAAACACAAAGAAAACTGGAATCATTGTCTGTTAAATCTTAAACAAAGGTAATAAAAGCCGCTGTGTTCGTTACATTATTCATTCGGTCTTAAAGTAACAGGTAAACATGGGGGGAGAGGTACTGTACATCACACGTACATTTCAACCGAAAAGGATCAGAAGATGCAGGGTAACTTAGAGGTAAAGGCATGCTTGCAGTACGAGCCCATTTACATTAAAGTGCTCTGTTGCCGAGCAACCGTCCTCAGGTGAGGGTGTGACTCACCTGGTTTGGGTTTGGGCTTAGCGGGGGCTTTGGTGGCGGCGGGGACATTCGGGACGACTTTAGGAGGAGCTTTAGTGGTGGGGACGTCTTTAAAGATATCCTCCAGATCGAGGTCTGCAGAACATTTAAACAGCTGTCTTTATATAAACGTCTAAAACCTGTATTCTCTCTCATGACCAGCAGGGGACCACTCCGCTGCTTACCCATTCAGTAATCATTTTCCTAACGAGTCTGTGGTCTCAATCTCTAGTTTCAAGTCTTCATCAACACAGCATGGAGTTCATTTATTACATTATGGTCCCATTTGGGGTCAAAGAGACCAGAAAGAGGGGGAGGAGTTAGAGCGGGGCTACCTGTGATTGACAGGTCACTTCCATGACAACCTGAGAAATGTTCTGTTTAATCTTTAGCTGTTCTGAGAGATAATCTGAGGAGTCAAATGCTCAGTTTTCTCAGTAAATATATCCCAATTTATATCATAAAAGAACAGCAGGAAATGACCATATCTGGACAAGAGGGTGGACCCTCGCTCCTCTCTAGCTCCACCCCCTTGTCCAAATATGGTCATTTCCCCTCCAAAAAGGGATTCCACAACCAGTTGGTGTCATCACTTTGGCCACGCCCACCGTGTTAACCACCAGAGGTACATTTATTTTATTAAGTAGATTATTGTTTGAAGCGTTTCATTAGTATCACAGATGCAGGTTGCTAATGAAGGTAGCATTAGCATTAGATGTTAACTTAGAGTTGGCCAAACCTCGCCCCTCTCAAGCTCCACCCACCATAGCAAACTCACAGCTGTTGAGCAACTGAGCTCTTGATTATAAAATAATTATTGAATGAGTGGTTCTTACCTCCTCCTGCTCCCCCTGCTGGAGCTGCTGGTACTGCAGGCTTTGGTGATGGAGTTACTATGACAACAGATAAAATAATGAATGATCAGATTCATTGAATTGAATCATATTAATGTATACAGGGTGATGTTGTAACGTGACTTATCATGATGTACCATGTGATGTTGTGTCGTTTTTTTTGGTGTTGTGTCATGTTGTATCACATGGTGTTGTAACGTGACTTATCGTTTTTGTCGTGTCACATTGTGAACTCTTCTCTGTTCGCCTGGTGGGAGCTGCGATTGGTGCGATTGGCATCCAATAAATCTGACTTTACCAACGAGGTTTCATCAATGACTCTCAGTAACAAATGTAAGGGATGAAACAAGGTTTCAGTGAAGACAGGTGCAGCACACCTGGAGAGGTGTGTCATTAATACTCACCGGTTTTACTGTCATCATCACCAAGAGCGTCAGCGAGGTCAAACCCCTGAGAGAGGACTGCAGAGACACAGAGAGAGAGAGGTGTTATACATTATTGTGAAGGCTCAGATGATGATATTTTATGTTGAAGGGCTCGGATGATGACGTTTTATTTTGAAGGGCTCGGATGATGACTTTTTATTTTGAAGGGCTCAGGTGATTGTTGTGCTGAGAGTTCGAGGCCATGCTGGAGTTTCTGTGTCAAACAAACAAACAAAAGGTCGACTCTTTGTGCTCTAATCCGGTGAACACAACGTTCACGGAGAGAGAGGGGGAGAGGGGGAGAGAGAGAGAGATAGAGGGGGGGAGAGAGAGAGAGAGACAGGGAGACAGAGAGAGGGGGGAGAGAGAGAGAGAAGGAGAGAGAGAGGGGGGGAGAGAGGGGCAGAGAGGGGGGATAGAAAGAGAGAGGGGGAGAGAGAGAGAGAGCGGGGATACAGAGAGAGAGAGGGGGAGAGAGAGAGCGAGGGAGAGAGAGAGAGAGAGAGAGAGAGGGGGAGAGAGGAGAGCTCTGTGTGAATTGCCAAACAGCATTGGCCACGCTTCAGTTCTGGAAAACGTCGCCAGTGTTTTTGTGGGTCCACACAGTTTCTGGAGTTTCCATGTTTTTAGAAATGTTTGGCTTGCAGCTCGTTCCTGTTTCATACTTCCTGTTTGATACTTCAGATCATAAACACATCATACTATCGTGTAAAAGCACGTGATTCTGAAACGTATGGACGATCAGAGGACAGCTCCACTCCTCCATGATCCTGTAATGTTTGTTTTATGCATCTGATGTCATGGTAGTGTTCTGTTCGGTCCATGAGGGGGCGCTCTTGGTTCATGGTTGGAATATGTGTCTGAAAAACGAGAACTGTGTTATGTTACCAGATAAAGAACCTTCAAACCGGTCTCTGCTGTGGTGAACATTATTCAAACACCAGGTTAGAGCGCTGATAGCCGAGCAGTTATGTCGGAGCCCCCATGTGCAGAGGCTGTAGTCCTCATACTAGCGGCTGTGGGTTAGAATCCCACCTCGGCCCTTTGTTGAATGTGACCCCACCCCCCCCCCCCCCCCTCTCCCTCATCCCCACTTCCTGTCTCTCTTCAGCTGCCATCTCCAATAAAGGGAACAAGCCTGAAACAAAACTGTGTGTGTGTGTCTCTGTGTGTACGTGTGTGTGTGTGTGTGTGTGTGTGTGTGTGTGTGTGTGTGTGTGTGTGTTTAATTGTGTAACTGAACATATTAATGTTGACCCTGTTAGATCATATTATTATTAAAGGTTCATTTCAATAAGTTATCATTATATAATCATAATAATGATTGAAACTTGAGATCATTATCAGAGTTTAAATCAGATGTAACCTTTGTGCCTGGCTCCGCCTCCGTGTCTGTCCAACCTTCATTTATTCAACACATCGGAATAAATCTGCATAATCTGCATCACTGATTTACATCTCATTAGCATATTCTGTCTCACGATTAATAGTTGAAGCTGCACAGTCAGACTGTGCTTTAAATACATAAAGACATAAATAAAGGTCATTAATGAATTAATAATAATAATGAAATCAATCTATTGATGATAGGACTGAAGGGCCGTGTGCAAACAGCTGATGTCACACACTCAGCTCAGCAGTGATAAACTCAGAGATGACAACATAATAACATCATTCACTTTTCATCTTAATCATCAGACGGCGAGTGACATCATCCACAGGCCTCACGTACAGGGCAAAGCTGCAGACAGACAGGCCAGGTGGAGGGTGGTGCCTCTGATTTATAATCTATAATATTTGATCAACTGAAAGATTTTAAAGCAGCTGCAGTACTCTGTAAGCTCCTCTTTATGATCATTTCATGACCATACTGATTTTAAAACAGCTGCTTCACATCTGTAAAATCTGTGGAAACTGTTGGAAACTGAAAGTGAAGCTTTAAGATCAAATCTACAGCATCACTTTTAAATATGATTATTGTTATAAATGTATCAATGTGTAATAACGGTTTGTCTGCACCGGGGCTGCAGGCCGGGGCACCGTTTGCTCCCGGCCAGACTGTCGGTGCGGCACAAAGGCGAAACATGTGGAGGGAGGTGTGCGGGACAAAGACTCACCGAGCGGCGGCAGCAGGAGGCCCAGCAGCACCGGGAGAAGCAGCGGGCACAGGGAACCCCGGGAGGAGTGAGCCATGATCGGTCTGCACACGCACGAAGGATACACGAGGATTAAAGAGCCGGTGGATAACGGGCCTGTCGTTGTTCAAATCAGCGCTGAGTCTCCGCAGAGCCGCAGTCTAAAGGCGTTCACTATGACACACAGAGACACGCCCACTCAGGGTTCACTCTGAGCCGCTTCCTGCCACCCCTTTCAAATTAAAACACTGGGAGGAAACAGAAGCATTGAATAAGTAAGATGTTTCAAGCAATGGGAAGGAAAGTCAATATAAACATTATGTTTTCTAATCAATAAAATGATAATAAATGTACCAGTAATTAGATTTCTAAAAGCTGCAGTTCCTCCAGTGTCCACTAGAGTCTGTGTCCCGCAGTGAGTCAGTCCCCATGGAGCCCCATGTTAAAATGAACAGGTTTACAGCCTGGTACAAAAGCAGTTTGGGTCTCTAGAGCTCATTTCCCTCTTCAACCTGACGGGCTGAATGTTTAAAGTTTAAAGCAATGTAGACTAAGGGGCGTGGTCTCTTTGAGTAACAGGTGGGAGCTGTTAATAAGTATTAATCTGTTGAAGCATCTGTGTTGCGTCTACAGTTTTTGAGTCTTTTGGAGCCATAGTTGGTATGAGTTATTATTCAACCTAAATTTTGATGATGTTTGGGTTCTGGTGGTGGTCTGTAAACCATTGATTTTTAAAGTATTATACAAACTAAAGCTAATATTTTTATTACAGGGCTAAATCACACCATGACTCACTGAGTTACTTTCAGAGGATTTACTTGATTTCTGCTCCATTTAAGTGTGAAAATCGCATATTCTTCCTTTAAGGAAACATGCTATGTTGAAGTGCTGGCTTCTCTGACAACAATGCAGCAGTCAGTATGTCCTCCTTCTAACTTTAGATTCTGGTCCTGAATGATCTGGATTTGTTTGGACCAGAGAAGGTAGAAGGGTTTTAAGACACAACCCACATTGCCGTTTTGGACGCCCCTCTGTTTACCAGATATGAGAGCAGTTATGTTGCAGAGATGGAAGCGGGCAAGAGAAGTGGTTCAGATAGAAGTGATTGTACCCGACCTAAAAAGCCTCTGCATGTTTCTAATAAGCTCCACGAGCAGAAACGTGCTCAAACTAGGATCAATATTGGAGATGCTTTTGAAAAATGGAGAGAGGTTAGAACACAGAAAGGTTTACAGACCCATGCAGAGCTGGATAAACACTGAAGCTTCAGTGACCACCACATGGTGACCTACGTGAGCATTGACTCTGAGGAGGGGGAGGGGAGACAGCTCTCTACAATGCTTAGAATTTAGACTGCAGTACCAATTTTAAACACTAGGTGTCAGAGTTACATATTGCCCCTTTAAGTATATTTGAAGTTAAGAGAAAAAAAATAATACTTAAAGGTATTTCTCATAATGTCAACTTAAACGTTATTTATCATCACCAATTCGTTTGTCCTGCAGGTGATGGACTTCCACAGCTGCTGATCCTCTGGACAGGAAACATCCTGACTGTTTATTTAAAGTTGTATTTATGTATTCATCATAAAAACTTAATGAGGATTGTTTATTTGGGTGTCTTTAATCATCCTGAGGACTGAGTGTGTCTGACAGGAGGAGTTCTAGCCTCAAACAGGAAACAGGCTGATGATCCTAAAAAGCTCCAAACAGCAGCAGCAGGAGGAGGAGGAGACCCGGACCAGCACGGACTCAAGACCTCCAGCTAACATTAAAGATCCAGTTAAAGCCGGACTACAGAGATGGGGGACAGAACCGGGACCAGGTGAGACTCACTCGGTTTGTTCAGGTGTTCTGTCAGATATTAAAGTAAAGATGATCCGCGAACGGATCCTGCCGATCTCCTCTGAGGGTCACAGCTGGATTTAAACCCTGAGCCTATCAATTGATCGAAACGTCGACTATTAACGACTGTTTTTCTAAAAGTAAGAGTCCTGTCTTTGTGAATGTCGGCTGAGTTTAATGAGAAAAGTCAAATCTGCCGAAAATGACGAGTTTACATCAGGGTGTCGTAACTTCCTTCTGACGAGCTACCAAACCGTTTGATTTCCTCAAATATGATCGATTCATTCTCAGGGATGATTCAGAGTCACCGATCTGAGCAGCAACCTCAGATGTCTCACATCCCCGGATTTAAACTCATGAACGATCATTCTGCATCCTACCAAAAACTAAAACATCCTTAAAAACAAGAGTTCATTAGTCCGTTTTACGGGGTGCATTTGAACGCAACATCCCCTTTTTTTCTGTATTGCAACAGCAAGATTCAGAGTAAAAGTGATGAGTCTTTAACTTCCTGATGTTTCAGTGTCCTCTTTAGTACCACTAAGAGTTGCTACACTGACATATTTGAATTAAAGTTGATTTAATGAAGATGATGCAGATGTGTAAACTCCTGCAGTTCCTTGAGTGTCCACTAGAGGCTGGTTGCAGAAGCACAGGAAGTCACATACACACCCATTCTAAAAAGTGTTTTTACAGCAGAGATTAACATGTTTACAGCCTGGTTCAAAAAACCAAATAGGTGTGATTAGCTCATGTCTCGATCGACACACACTGTACGGGGGGGTGAATGTTTTGATGATCATCAGTTTTGATTTGATGAAGCTGACCTGATTGACAGGCGTGTAAAGGTTTGTCAAGAGGCTTAAAACCCGCCTCAGCTCCAGCTCTCAGCCTGTTGTTAGGTTGACTGAAAGTTAGACTGAGACAGCATTTCCAGCATGGAGACCGCCATCGATGGGACTCCAGCGCCCCCTGCAGGAACAGAGGGGTGACGACATTCAAACATTAATATTTACAGTCTATGGTCGTTTCTCAGTTTCAGTCTCTAAACAAAAGGGAGACGTCCATAAAGACAGAGCAGGATGTTTTTTTAAAACTTATTTTTAAATCAGACAAATCTTATTGTTTGTTTTTAACCTCTTGAACTTTGGTCTCTTTGATACGGAGTCCTCTCTGACTCATTCTAAGGTTCAACGCCAAATTTAAAAACATGGAAATTACCTGTAAACGTACTTACAGTCACTTTACTGAATCCTACCTGAAGGGGTCTTATTACGAGGAGGAAGCTCTATGGAGGACAAAAAGTGCAAACATGCTTCAAACCATCAGAACCGGCTGAGAGCATCAGACCCGTGTTGGGTTAACAAATCAAACGTCCTGCAAATACATACGTACATGCAAAGTTCAAATCAGACTAACCTAGAAAATAAGTGCTAAAGAAAAACGCTGCAAATCACAATATCACAAGGAAGCAGTCCAGGCCTGCAGGGGGCGCTCAATGAAACACTTATACCATTCAATGAGAGAGACGTCGGGTCTACAGAGGATTCTTTGTTCCAGTGACGCAAAAATCATCATTTTGCATCACTGGAAGCTCCTTTTCAGACTTGGAAATACAAAGATTTCCCATCTCAGGGGAAAATGAGGGCCGGATGCACGACCATCCAAAAATACTACCAGGTTTCTAATGATACAAAGCTTAATGCAAATGCAAATTACTCTTTCAATACTAATCTCCGGCCCGTTGCCTAGCAACCTCCACAGCTCCACTAGAACTGGCTAACTTATTGGAGCCTCCTTCTGTTTTTATAACATTTATAGCTAATGGACTGATTAGAAACCAATGATCACATTTAATGTGTTTCACTCGGCCACTTTGAACCGGCATGCAAAGAACTATGGGAGATTGATGCACTGTGTTTGCACTTTAAGGCGACCGTAGTTTCTTTCCAGCACTCTCTTAACATAACCTTAACTGCTTATCAACGGTTAGACAGAAAATAAAGATCTGAAAACATTTGTATTGATTCAGAGAGACGAAACGTCTGCGGTTAATAAAACACAATCCCTCCTTCTTCAGGGTTCAGACTGTGCTGACTGTGGACAGTTTCTCTGTTTTCAGGCGGGTTTCTGCTCTGCGTGCTGACTCAGCAGCTCCTCTCTCTGCTGACTACATGTTTATTATCCTTACTTGAGTTCTTCCCATTGGCATGAAGGGTTAACAGGAAGCAGAGGACATGTCTGTAGATACTCAGGATGTGTGTTGTTTTTTTTATCTCCAGTGAGAGTCAACGTTTGCACATTCCTGCACAGACGGAAGCTAATGAGTCTAAACTCTGCAGCACCTCTGTGCATCAACATGGACGCTGAGGCAGTGTAGACCTGGATTTTTTTGGCCCTGTGCTTGTTTACATGGACTGTGCAGGCGGGCTGATTAATGAACGCACTCTGTCACAGACTAATTCCTGGTATGGTCATCTCGGACACAGTGGTCTCATTTCCTGGAATCCTCTTCTTCCTCTTCTTCTACTTCCTGTTTGGACCCTGCAGAGCTGGGTCCGGTCTCATTTTAAACCTGGTTGTGAGCAGTGCTGTCCCCTCGTTGTTGCATTAAAGGGACAGTAATGAATAAAGATCATAGTTCAGTGTGTGACTGAACGAACAGAAAACAAACTTTGATTTACTGGATTTTCATTTCAGCACAACAAATATCATGAACGTGAACCTCGTGTAACATTTACAAATCACACGTCACTCATGTTAGGGTCAGAGGTCAGAGTTCACCTTTAAAGGGTTAGTCTGAGAAATCAGAGCAAATCAAACCTCTCTCTCTCTCTTTCTACAGAGTCTTTAAGAAGTCCAGCCCAAACTCTAAGGTAGGACATGTATGTAGGTAACTGTGTATGTGCATGTGTGTGTGTGTTTGTGCATGTGTGTGTGTGTTTGTGCATGTGTGTGTGTGTTTGTGCATGTGTGTGTGCGTGTGTTGATGGTTGATCTTGACTTCCTCCATATTGTTTTCTGCATGTCTCTGGCTGTCCTCAGCTCACAGTTTATCTGGGGAAGAGAGACTTTGTGGATCACTTAGACCATGTGGATCCAGTAGGTGAGTCTGAGCACACACGCACACACACGCACACACACACACACACACACACACACACACACACACACACACACACACACACACACACGTATGGAGGCTGAAGATGTGACCTCCTTGAGGAACATCCAGTTACTGTGCATGAATCAAATCCTAACACCTGCAGAGTCCTCATTGACCGTCAGACGGTGCATTCAGGATCCTTTTTTTTATTTCAAAAATCTGAACTGTACATCCTCACATGGTAACACT